ATGGTGGTATATAAGGTCTGATATTACTGCCCGCGACGTCACGGTATATACTTTTTTTAACGTTGGGAATAACAACTCACTTTAACTTTACCTTGTTCGACGTGCCGGCATCCTGCAGCACTTTCGAAATTTGAACGTGCTTCTGGCTGTCGCTAATTCCTTGTAATCTATGACCGTTGGACAAACGATAGTTTCAATTCGCGATAACGCGTCTGCGACTGGATTATTGTTGCCATTGACAACAACAACTGTCTAATTCGTCGAGGAAGTCTCTTTACTGGAATTTACCTTTGTGAGTGCGTATGTCAGAGGATTGTGGTCCGTGTACACGGTCAATTCCCGACCTTCTATCATATTTTTGATGTGCATGATGGACATGTACACAGCCTACAGTTCTCTGTCATACGTACTATATTTTTGTTTAGCATCTGACAGTTACTTTGAGAAATACCCGAGCAGCTGCCAAATACCGTTGACCTTCTGCTGCAGTACTGCGCCTACACAGGTGTTCGAGGCATCGGTCATTAATGATAATTGCGCGTCCGGCACAGGGTGTGATAATGTTTCGTCGTTTTGCAGGTTTAACTTACATTTTTAGGATGTGTGGTCGGCTTCACTATCCCAGTCAATTTTCTTCTTGTCCTACTTTTTTTAGGTATTTAAAAATTTGTTTAAATTCATATGACATTCAGCTGCTTTGGGCAAATGTGACCTGTAGAAATTTACCATACCTAAAAAACGTCGTAGCTCATCGACTCTCTGATGCTTTGTATGGTCCAGAATAGCCTTAACCTTGTCGGGCAAAGGGCTTATTCCTGACTGAGTAACCTTGTATCCTAATAAATCGACTTCTCTCACTCCAAACAAACTTTTGCTTAGATTTATGGTTAACCCGATACTGTGGCACACGACACAGCAATACAATATTAATTTTAGTTCCAAAATATTCATCAAATTTACTCAATATAGGCACAATCACAATTCTTTTCTTTAGTGAACGTAAACGTTTGATAAATGTCGAATCCTTCTAAACCCATTAAATTGAGAAGTAAACTTGCTTTTACTGCCGATGTCTCCGAGTGCACACTCGAAGCCTTCATAAATAATAAATTGTTGTCTCCACCTCTTCCAAGCATCAGCCCTGCTGACGGGTCCGCCTTCTAACTGTAATTCATGGGGTGGTCGCGCGTGCTCCATTGTTAATTGCAAGATACACGTTAGAGAATTATTTCGCAGTTTACTACTTTTCATAAATATTATACTATGTGTGTATGTTGCAATTATTCCATTGACGTCCTCGATCTTGACGTTTACTATGCTTATGATCCCACTTCTGACGCCATGTTGTGTTTGCAATAATACACGTTCTTTAGCGATACAATAATACAAATACCTCCAACAGCGTTCTTAATCGTCTTATGGTGCCTGAGCCTCACAGCAGCTCTGACTTAATATTTAGAATAATCCATCACGCATCGATCACCTAAAAAAATATCATTACGGTGTGTCAAACTTCACTGTCAAGTGTGAATTGTAATGTCACAGTTGTCACTGCTCTCGCTGTGTTATTCTGTAGTAACGTTGTCTGTTGTTGCCTAACAGCTATTCTACGTAAATTGATATTCAAATGAATTGTTTTTCCCTTGCTGTCTATACCCACATAATTTTGAAACAATAATATGTAAGTATCTACACAACTCAATTACATTTAGCTGCATTTTAGCATATCATAACACGCGTTTATTTTTTGCTTGAACTTGAAGTTTATGAAAATAGATCACTAAACGAGCGTGAGCATAGACAATTTCACTGAATAGTGCATTTGACAGTGCATTTTATAAACGGGTTGGATACCTACTTCTTGGGCTGTCTGATTAAAATTTGTGAACAAAGGTATTAGAAAAGTCTATTTTTTTTACGTGGTTTGTTAATTTTTTCTCTAAAACCATATTTTTTCTTTCGCGATAAAAGTAGTTGATATAATAACTCGGTAAGTCCAAGACGTAAATTAGGTCACATCGTAAATTTTTTCATACCTGATTTGTGAATGTGTAGAACATTTAAAAATCAAGCTAGTAGCGTTCATCATGATCGGCGAGAAATATTAGACTATAATATTATAAAAAATGAACTAGATATTTGTAAACTCATTCCAATTTTTTTAAATTTCTGACACTAAACAATTACCACATGACAATTTTTTTATTTCTCACCTATTAAATAAGTACACGTGCAAAAACATCGATAATGTCCAACATCGATGTTATGCGCAGGATACACATCGATGTTAAGCTATCAATACCAACATCAATGTCATCATCGATGTTTCTGCAACATCGATCATCCCTAATGTGTCACTTGCAGCGTCGCCAATTACATACAAGGCTATTACCGTATTACATGGCTTTTTGAGTCTATTCAGCATTAAAACACGGTACATGGCAGCATATTAATTGCCGAGTTCTTAAAACACGGCAATCAAATGGTTACATTTTTTCCAGAAATTTTTATAGGTAGTCGATAAGTAATTACAGTACAGGGGCCCTTGCCACTTGTTTGTTACTACCTTTTGAAACGCAATAAACAATTTTTAATTTTTTTTTAATTATAACGCACATCACTAGACTACACTAGACGTAGTCTTGAGTCTATGAGATGGGAAATCCTGACGCGAATACGACATGTAATGGAGTATAGAGGTAGGGAGGACAATCTCCTATAGGACAATAGTGGAAAATGTGTCCATCTGTAAGCAGTACATAACAGTTTAAAAACTCTCTACTACTTACTATAGTTCATAACAGATAGCTTGATCTCTGCGACAGCTATCAGTAAAATCACGCCTATGAAGTCCTGAATGTCTTAGTACTACAGGGTATGATAAATAGCCGTAAAATATTGAAATAATACTATTTTTTACGGAATTTATCGCGTATATTTAACTTTTTAAATACCCGACGTTTCGAACGCTTTACAGCACTCATGGTCACGGGCGGGACTGAGATGTTCAACGTCCATATGTCATAGTTAACCGCGGTTACCATAGATTAAAATTTAACTTTTGTTCCGATCTATACAGTATGAACTTATGGTATCTGCATGACTTCATTGTATGCTTGGGTTGGGATTTAATTTTATTTATTATCGGATCCCAAGCAGATGGTAGCACCCAGCCATCTTCTCTATTGAAATTAGGATGTTTTTTGATTTCAATAGCCTCACGAATCATATTTGGAAGGAATCGGTGTTCTTTAGCGAGGATTTGCGGTCTATCAAATCTGATGTAGTGACGGGGGCGATCCTGTACGTGTTCACAGACTGCAGACTTCCCGGAGCGTCGATTCTTCACATCAGCTATATGTTCTTTAACGCGGGTTTTTATAGTTCATATAGCTGATGTGAAGAATCGACGCTCCGGGAAGTCTGCAGTCTGTGAACACGTACAGGATCGCCCCCGTCACTACATCAGATTTGATATCCTCGCTAAAGAACACCGATTCCTTCCAAGGATGATTCGTGAGGCTATTGAAATCAAAAAACTTCCTAATTTAAATAGAGAAGATGGCTGGGTGCTACCATCTGCTTGGGATCCGACAATAAATAAAATTAAATCCAACCCAAGCATACAACTGCAAGACTTCAAGATACCATGTTCATACTGTATAGATCGGAACAAAAGTTAAATTTTAATCTATGGTAACCGCGGTTAAAACTATGACATATGGACGTTGAACATCTCAGTCCCGCCCGTGACCATGAGTGCTGTAAAGCGTTCGAAACGTCGGGTATTTAAAAAGTTAAATATACGCGATAAATTCCGTAAAAACTAGTATTATTTCAATGTGTAGTGTTCGCGTAAATATAAGAAATCAAGCCGTAAAATATGTTGAGAGTGATTTTGAAAATAAAAATTTTGAAAGCAATTAAATAATTATTGTAAAAGAACTATGATGAAAGTATGAGTAATTAAAAAATTATAATAAGTTCTTTAAAATTTAGACTGTAGCTACAGTGGCGCCACCCTTATTTAACGGTTTTCTACGAACACTTATTTATACAGAGTCTGTACTCCTTACCTCTATACTCCATACGACATACAATCGCGCACACTTTATTATTTATGGTATTAATTTCAGTCTTTCATTTTTTGAAAAGTACATTAAAAAGATATACCGCTGTTTATTTACTTTATTTAACTTTACTAGCTAAGCACTTTATCCGATCCCAAGGAAATTGTGTTAATTTCAAACCGCCAAAACAAATGATAAACAATATGAAGGAAAATAATAGATATAAATTGAACAAAGACGAAGGAGAAGTTTTGGATACGAGAAGAAATTCGTATGATGACTGTGAAGAGTAATGTTTTTATGTCATGTTTAATCTTACGTGTTAATTTAAAATAAATCAAAATGTACACGGCAATTTTGTAGTTTTTATTCCATAACACGGCAATTTCAAATTTCGAAATGGCAAACCTGGTCACTTGTCACTTCTTTTAAAGTTTTTTTTTATTAACTGGCTTTACGGCTCTGGGTTCCAGCTTTTCTGAGCCTATTTTTTAAAGATTGTGACATCGTCATCATCATCGTCATCGTCACCGTCATTGTCATCGCCATCATCATCCTCACCGTCACCGTCATCATCATCCTCACCGTCATCGTTATGATCGTCGTAATCGTCATCGTCATCGGCATCGTCACCGTCATCGTCATCATCATCGTCATCGTCATTGACATCATCATCGTCATCATTATCGTCACAATCATCGTCATCGTCATCGTCATGATCATCGTCATGATCAACGTAACCGTCATCGTAATCGTCATTGTCATCGTCATCGTCATGATCATCGTCATG